TGCAGGCGGCGCGGGGAAGGGGGGGAGGCGGGCTCCAGCCCGGGGTGCTGTGGTGGGGCGAGGAAAGTTGACCCGCAGCCGGGCGGCGGGGGAAGGAGCTGGGGGGGAAACTGTTTCAGAAGAAGTGCTCTTGGAGGTGGTCTGGCGTGGGACATTTCCGGCTGAATTAGGCGAAACACTAGTGGGTTCAGTAGGGGGAGGTCCCGTGCTGAATCCGATAGAGACGCTGGAAATGGTCCCGCAGGTAAATAGCTGTACCTGTGTTAGTATTGGAAGAGTTAATTAGTACTCAGTAACGCAGGGCAGAGTCTTACAGTTCTGCAGGGTACTGCAATAGTACATCTTGCTGCAAGCAAACAAGTCTCTACCTGACAAGTAACGAATTACGGGCTCAGTTCAGGACCTTTTTAATCTTAGCAATGAAGCATGACAAGGGTGAGAGATGCGTCGTACGGCTCTTTGATTTAAAAAAGTGTGTCTTGAAACTTGTCACTTTCCTGGGAGAAATGAGACATCTTCAGACCTTGTTAAATACTATTTTTGTGGGTTTTTTTGATCCTATGCTAAATAAAATGGTCTTTTCCACACACTGTAATTTAAGTCAGCTTGGGTTTTCTGTTAAATTACGTGTTTTCAGGACTTTGAAAACAATGTGTTTTTACAATTAATCAATTTTCACATGTCACTAGTTGAAAAGTGCCACCGTATGTTTGCAAAAGCTATTTAAATCTGTGACGGATTAGAATCAAGTCTTAATCCTTCCCAACAGTCCCAGTCTGTGACTTTTATCATCTTTGTAAACTTTGCAGGCAGTGCTCTGAATTTGTGGAACACACTGATTCGATGCATTTACTATCTGTTTTAAAAAGAGCAGTAAACATTGCTTGAATTGTGAGTAGTTTGGCCTGTTTAAAGCTAATATGTATGATGTATGTAGTGCTGCAAACATAGGGCATTTGCTATAATATGTGAAAAAAAATTACTGGCTTCATCTCTCCTTGGAAGAGTTTGCAGTGTCTGTTTTTATCTGAGTTGGTTTAACAAATGTAATTGCATTTTATAAAGCAATGACAAACATTGCAGAATGCAGTAAGGAACCCCAAGAGCAGGCTATTATGTCTGAGTTCAACAGGGCCGCGATGATGGGAAGCAGATGCTGCTTTTACCGCTGACAAGGTGGCCTGGCCTGCGGAAGATTGTGTTCTGAAGGAGAAGAATGGAAAGAGCTTTTTTGCTTTGGGACAGGAAATGGTTTGTAGAATGGGAGGAGGAACACGAGGAAGAACTTCTTCACTCTGAGGGTGGTGGAGCCCTGGAACAGGCTGCCGAGTCTCCTGCTCTGGAGATCCTCAAGCCCCGCCTGGACGCGGTCCTGTGCAGCCTGCTCTGGGTGACCCTGCTTTGGCAGGGGGGTTGGACTAGATGACCCACAGAGATCCCTTCCAACCCCTACCATTCTGTGATTCTGTGATTAATGAAGGTGCTGGAGAGCAGAGTACACAACCAGAGCATCTTCTGTCTGTCTGTCAAGGGCAGGCTGGGGAGAAGCGCGTGGTTTTCCATACGTGTCATTTATCCCTTTCCCAAATATCCAGATCACACAAATTGTGCTGAAGTTGGCCATAGAAGTAACATTCCGATTTTTTCTGCCCCCTCTTTGGTAGTCAGTCGTTAGTCTGCTTTACAGCCGCACCTCACCGTTCTCCATCTGCTTTAGAAGTTGCTCTAAAATCAGTAACTATGACCATTTGTGGAGTTAGAACTGTAGAATCATAGGATGTTTAGGGCCAGGGAAGGGCCCTTAGAGGCCGTGCGGCCCAACCCCCTGCAGCGAGCAGGGACACCGTCAGCCCGCGTGGGCTGCTCAGAGCCCCGTCCAGCCTGAAGGAAGGAGTTTAAGGAAAGAAGTCTCCTTCTGCGTCGGTCATGCCTGCCAGGGTCAGACAGCCAAGGCAGCGATCCCAAACGTGCGCACGAGGTGCCCGGCTCCCCGAGCCAGCGCAGTGTCCCTGTCAAGGCCTCGTACTTCTGCTGCTTTTCTCCTGACGTGTTCTGAAGGCTCTGGACGTAGGATGTCCTTTTTCACATCTTGGATTCAAATAAAAATGCGGATAACTGGTTCTAGCTAGCTAAAATGCAGGTTTCAGCCTGTTAGCTGGTGAAGCGGGATGAGGCTGTGTGGGCACGTGGTACTGTTACGTGTACGAGGGTGACAGTACAGGGAACGTGAGAGCTGCTGAAATACGCCCGCTGCCTTGCCGGCGTCATTTGCTACAAGGGCTGGACTGACCTTCGATTAAACCCTTGGTAGAGCTTCTTTCCTTAATGACTTGATCTGGAGATGGAGACCTTGGTGGAAGCTGCCCGTGCATGCTCAGTTTTATCCATCGTAGCGTGCCGGCTGACAGTTGCTCTCAGCGGTTTGAACTTTTCCTGTATGTACGCAACCTTCATTTTTATTAGTGTTGATTAATCCTTTGCTGTGATGCTGCATGCCTGTCCACGCCACCCTGAAATTGCCGGCTTGGGGCTGGTTTGGGTGGG